GTCTGTAGCATCTTAGCTAGCGCGTCTGTATTGCGCACCGCTAGCTTAGCAATACGTATTTCAGAGTTTTTACTGTTAGCAAAATGCTCTGCTGTATTTGATTTCTCTGGCTGGCTTACTGCCGTTTGTTTATTTTTTATGTTTTGGTTGACTAGCCGTCTTCCCTGTGTATGTCCTAATTAAAGTAGGATATGTTAGTAAATGTCTTTTACCTGAAGCATGTTGTCTTTTCCCCTAATTCTTTTCATGCAGGTAGGAGTTTAAATTGAGCACCAGTGGCGGCATACACACTGTTAATCTCCTTTCTTCATTGTGGACGGGAAACAAAATTTACTTACATTATGAATGCATACTGCAGTACTGCATTAAATACAATAATTCTCATATATTTATTTTTCCAGTGAAACTGATTTGCTGATTGGTCAATAGCTTATTTGTGTGTAGTAACTCAACAATATCCAGGTTTTAATGTAAATAAAACACCCCAACCTAAAAAGGCTTGGTATGGCATATAAAAAATATCTAGTTTCTGATCAGTAGGGGGGACTTTGCTTGTACTTATTTGTTGTACGCTAATAAAGTTTTGTATTAATCAGATGCATGTACATCAGTAAGACATTAGAAACATATTGCTGGCAGAGGATAACCCTGTTCTTTGGTCTGACATGTCGCTCTTCGCTGCAAGAATGCAGAGGTTGTTTATTCTGCTGTAATTTAGCAGCTTTGATAAGAGACACACCTCTAAAGTACTTCCTGTCCAGTGTTATCTGATAGCAAGGCCATATCGCCAATTTTAGCTGTCTGTGGAAACTTTTTGATTCCACAACATATAACTGTCTTTTTTTTTTTTTTTGTCTCACCACAGCCTTTCCAATTTGATGTCACTAGAACTCAGAGAAAATCTGTTGACATTCCTACCAGAGTACGTATTAAAATTGTATATGTTTGTAAACATTTACATCAGTATTTTTATAAGGCACTTTGCATCTTATTAGGATTCCATTTCAACTTTTGTTTTATGCCATCCGCAGGTCACTATCTCAACTTCACAAACTTGAAGAACTTGACCTCGGTAATAATGAACTATACAATTTGGTGAGTTTTTTTTTTTCTCCCTCATTATTTTTTCTTAGAAGAAACATTTACCATTTCCTTTGTTTTGGTCATGTCTGAGCAGGTTGGCATCCGTTCAGTTTGTTTAGAGCTTTAATTTGAAGCTGCAGCCGTACGTGAATGGTTAAACTCAGATGGTGAACAATTAACAGACAAATAAAGATGCTCTGCCAAGAAATTGTTTTTTCCCTCCCACCTTCATGAGATGTCATTTAGCCGATTGAGATCAAATTTGAGTTAGATGGTTAATATGTTCACTTGCTACGTTATAAAATTTTAGGTTCACTAAAAATATATTTATACAGTCCAGCAAAGTTCAGTCAGGTCATCTGGACGGTTTCTTTTTTTGTTGAGACGTTTCATCCTTCATCCAAAGGACTTCATCAGTCCGAGGAGCCACAAACAAACTCAGTCCCACAAGCAGCACACTCAATAGTGAGCCAACCAGTTTGCTGGTTATAGGATGGTTTCTGAGGCCTGCCCTCTCCCCCGTCGACTCCTCTGAGGCAGCCAAAGCTAAAATGGTTCAAAACATCAAAGTTCATGTGCATCAATCCAGGTAGAAAATCCAACAAAGTTCAGTTTGGTCATCTGGATGGCTTCTTTCTTTCTTTCTTTTTTTTTTTTTTTTTTGTTGAGATGTTTCGTCCTTCATCCAAAGGACTTTGAAGTCCTTTGGAGAAACCATCCAGATGACCTGACTGAACTTTGTTGGATTTTTTACCTGAATTATTGAGCATGAACTTTGATGTTTTGAACCACTTTGGCTATGGCTGCCTCAGAGGAATCGATGGGGGAGAGGGCGGTCCCCAGAATCCATCTTATCACCAGCAAACTGGTTGGTCCACCTTGTGGGTGTGCTGCTTGTGAGACTGTGTTTGTTTGTGGCTCCTTGGACTGATGAAGTCCTTTGGATGAAGGAGGAAACGTCTCAACAAAAAAATTAACCGTTCAGATGACCTGACTGAACTTTGTTGGATTTTCTACCTGGATTATTGACCATGAACTTTGATGTATCTATACAGTAATTTAAATCCACCCTTAAAAGTCAACTTTTAATTCAAGTTCAGTTTGAGTTCCATCAGAATTGTGAGGTTGTGATGTTTTTTGTTTTGTTTGAGATGGTTTTAGCTATTTTATTGTACCGGTACTTGGTGATTTTTCTTTTTCTTTTAATGATGGTTATTCCTGTTTGTTCTTGCGCTCCTTGTTAATCAACACTGTTGTTTTTAAATGTGCTATATAAATATGTTTGATATTGACATTTTTTAAATTAATTATGGTCACAATACCAAAAGTATTCTAGTAAAGAAAGTGGGATTGTCACTGATATGCTCTCTTGTTTCTGTCTCTTCTATGTTTCTGGCTGTCTGGTCACTTCTACATTGTTCAGCCTGAATCAATAGGCTGTCTCATCAGCTTAAAGGACTTATGGCTGGATGGAAACCACTTGAAAGAAATACCCGCAGTAAGTTATTTGTGCATCTAATGTGTATAACTGAGATGTTTATGTTAATTGAATGTGAAAGTACAGATATTACTGTTGGGAGTGTCTGCATATTCCTGATAGATTATCACGAACCAAATTTCAATGCAGAGATTGTGTTTGTTGCTGTGTACTGTAAAATGTGCATTTCTTCTCTTCCTGTCTTTGCTGTAAACTTTAGGAGATGGGCAACATTAAAAGCCTGTTGTGTCTGGATGTATCAGAAAACGAGCTGGAGTTTCTTCCAGAGGAGTTGGGTGGCCTGGTGTCGCTCACCGACCTACTAGTCTCTCAAAACTCCATTGAATCTATTCCAGAAAGCATAGGTATTAAATGTGTATTTGAGCTTTTTATCAAGTTTTAATATTTTGACAACTTTGAGTTTCTTTGTTAGAAATGCCATATATATTTGTTACCTGATTTAAAAAAAACAATTATCATTCAACCAACATTACTTATTTAAGATGGCTTGCATGCTGTGAATCATCTGTATGTTACTTGATATAAATTGAAGCTCACAAATTATATAACCATGGTAAAAATAAAAAAATAAATCCGCTAATGTGCCGTTATCCTGCTAAGCAAAGCCCACAAGGTTTACGTTTCTGCAAGGTACAATATGTTTATTGTGCGTGTTTTTACTGTCTGCAGGAAAACTACAGAAACTTTCTATACTAAAAGCCGACCAGAATAGAATAACATATCTCCCAGAAAGCATTGGTAACTGTGAAAGACTTACAGAACTTGTGCTCACAGAGAATCAACTACAGGTTTGTTTTTCAACATTTTCTTGAATATGTCGTTATTATTATAATGTGAGATTACTAAATTTATTGTTGGGGTTATCCATCATATTTAAGTAGCAGCACATTCAGATAATCTCATTCTCATGATATCCCACTCTCATTTGTATTTCATCATAATCTCATTTTAGTCTTATTTTCACCTCATTATCACGTTATTTTATCATTATCCTCATCTCTTGTTTATTTGACCATCTTTCTTATCTCACTTTAATATCATCATCATTTTCATTCATCATCTTAATCTCTATTTAATTTCTTTCCCATATCACTTTAATCCCATTCTCATCTCATTTTCATTTCATCCTCATTCTCGAATAATCCTAATTTCATTCTTACATAAATTTATTATCCTTCCCCCTTTTATTTTATCCTTATTCTAATTTTCATCATAATCTCATTCTCATGTCATCCCACTCTCATTTGTATTTCATCCTAAACTAATTTTTCACCTCATGCTCATGTTACTTTATCATTCTCTTATGTTCATTTTATCCTCTCTCATCTCACTTTAATCTCATCCTCATTTTCATCATATCCTAAAGTCATTTTAATCTCATTTGCATCTAATCGTTTATCATCCTAACCTCTATCTCATTTCTATCCCATATCACTTTATTCCCATTCTCATTTCATTTTAATCTAACCCTCACCCTCTGTATCTCTTCTTATATCTCATTCTAGTCTCATCTTAATCTCATTCTTACATAAATTTATTTGCATCCTTCTCTCTTTTATTTTATCATTACCCTAATTTTCATCATCGTATTATTCTCATCTTCATCTTATTCTCATCTCTCTTTCATATCATCCTTAATTTATTTTTTCCATCATAACCACCTGGTCTCACCACATTTCATTCTTTTTTAAATTTATCATCGTGTTCCTCCTGATCTCATTCTCATCCAATCTTAAATATCATCCTCATAAATTTGCCTTTCCCATTTCTCATTCTATTCTCATTCCCATATAGCTTTAACCTCATCCTTATCTCAGTTTTATTTTATTCATATCCTATTTCACATTCCTATCTTATTCTCATTTCACTTCCTGATCATCCTCATCTTATTATAATCATAATCATCATAATTCATATAATTCTTAATCCATTTTTTTCCCCCCATCATAACTTCCTGATCTCACCTCATCTTTTTTTTTCCACATTTAGCCTCATGTTCCTCCTGGTCTCATTCTTATCCATTTATATTTCCCATATTTCATTCTAGTCTCATTCTCGTACAGTTTTAACCTCATCCTTTCACTTTCATTTTATCCATATTTAATTTTTCATTCTAATCTTATTCTCATCTAGATCATCCTCATCTCACTCTTTTTACATTTTATTTTTATGTCCCTCATGGTCTCATTCTCATCTCATTTTCAGTACTTCTCATATAACTGCCTTTAGGTCCTAGTATTCAATCTCCTTTTGGCCAGAGGTGGGTTCAGATGACAAGTCAGACAAGCACACACACCCATTTATGGAAGAAATGGCAGAAAATAATATGAATAGTCAAACATGTAGGACTTTCACTTGTGTAGGATAAAAATGTGAGACCCACAAGATCTTAACTATAAAACGGAAGTTTCAGTTTTACAGAGCTTATAAAAAAGCTTAAAAATAATTTATTAGTTAATGAAGAATCTGAGTGAAATTGTTCAGGATGGATACCCTGGATGCACAGAGTACTGCAACAGGAAACCACTGTGAGTGGTCTATTGGCGTTTTGTTTTGTATAGTGTTGTGTGACTAACGCAGTGCATGAGATCCCTTCATCAAAATAAAACATGAATGATTTGTTATACTATGTTGTTCTTTTATGGATAACTGGTCATCAGGACAGACTGCATAGTGAGTCTAAACTTAAAAAATATGTGAAGAGAGAAATGAGAATATAAAGACTTTTGTCCTTTTTGTTAAACTCCCAGTGAGGTGAAAACCACTTCAAGCACACTTTAACTTTCCTTCTAATTGTTGTTTTGGTTTATTTATCGTTGCAGACCTTGCCGCGAAGTATTGGGAAGTTGAAGCGATTGTCCAACCTAAACTGTGACAGAAACCAGCTAACATTTTTACCTAAAGAGGTAAGTTTTTCATAAACTAACCAACCAGCATAATTTAGTTCAGTAAAAGCAGTTAAATAGTCTTTCTTATATACCCCTCCAACTTTTCACGTCAAAGCACGAGGCTCTTTTTTTGTGCTGTTAATATGTAAAAATAAATTGTTATTTAAAATATGTTTTTATCTTATATTTCAGTTCTTAATAATAAAACCATGACACCTTTTCTGCAACTCAGCTCAAAGTGAATGACAGTTCTTCAAAATACAAACCGGATTCCAAAAGAGTTGGGACACTAAACAAATTGTGAATAAAAACTGAATGCAATGATGTGGAGGTGCCAACATCTAATATTTTATTCAGAATAGAACACAAATCACAGATCAAAAGTTTAAACTGAGAGAATGTATCATTTTAAGGGAAAAATCTGTTGTTTCCAAATTTCATGGCGTCAACAAATTCCAAAAAAGTTGGGACAAGTCCGTTTTTACCACTGTGTGGCATCCCCCCTTCTTCTTACAACACTCAACAGACGTCTGGGGACAGAGGAGACCAGTTTCTCAAGTTTAGAAATAGGAATGCTCTCCCATTCATGTCTAATACAGGCCTCTAACTGTTCAATTGTCTTGGGCCTTCTTTATCGCACCTTCCTCATTATGATGCGCCAAATGTTCTCTATAGGTAAAAGATCTGGACTGCAGGCTGGCCATTTCAGTACCCGGATCCTTCTCCTACGTAGCCATGATGTTGTGATTGCTGCAGAATGTGGTCTGGCATTATCGTGTTGAAAAATGCAGGGTCTTCCCTGAAAGAGATGACGTCTAGATGGGAGCATATGTTGTTCTAGAACCTGAACATAGTTCTCTGCATTAATGGTGCCTTTCCAGACATGCAAGCTGCCCATGCCACAAGCGCTCCTGCAACCCCATACCATCAGTGATGCAGGCTTCTGAACAGAGCGTTGATAACAACTTGGGCTATCCTTGTCCTCTCTGGTCCGGATGACATGGCGTCCCAGTGGTCCATAAAGAACTTCAAATCGTGGCTCATCTGACCACAGAACAGTCTTCCATTTTGCCACACTCCATTTTAAATGACCCCTGGCCCAGTGCAAACATCTGAGCTTGTGGAGCTTGCTTAGAAATGGCTTCCTCTTTGCACTGTAGAGTTTCAGCTGGCAACTGCAGATGGCACGGTGGATTGTGTTCCTGACAATGCTTTCTGGAAGTATTCCTGAGCCAATTCTGTTATTTCCTTGACAGTGGCATTCCTGTTTAAGGGCCCGGAGATCACGAGCATCCAGTAGAGTTTTACGGCCTTGACCCTTACGCACAGCGATTGTTCCAGATTCTCTGAATCTTTTGATGATGTTATGCACTGTTGATGATGATAACTTAAAAATCTTTGCTATTTTACGCTGGGTAACACCATTCTGGTATTGTTGCACTATCTTTCTGCACAACAATGGTGGAATTGGTGATCCTCTTACCATCTTGGCTTCTGAGAGACACTGACACTCTGAGAAGCTCTTTTTATTCCCAATCACGTTGTCAATTGACCTAATTAGTGTTAATTGATCTTCCAGCTGTTCGTTATATGCTCAATTTCCTTTTTCCAGCCACTTATTGCTACTTGTCCCAACTGTTTTGGGATTTGTTGACACTGTGAAATTTTGAATCAACATATTTTTCCTTTAAAATGTTACATTTACTCAGATTAAACTTTTCATCTGTCATCTATGTTATATTACGAATAAAATATTGACATTTGCCATCTCCACATCATTGCATTCAGTTTTTATTCACAATTTGTTTAGTGTCCCAACTTTTTTGGAATCCGGTTTGTACTTCTAGAAATTATTATTTTTTTGCTTTAAATAATTCTGTTTCAAGACCAGAACTTCATTGTTATTTTACACTGTTTTGAGTATAACACAGTGCTACAATGAAACATTACATGTTGCGCTACAAAGCACTTGCTTGTGGTGTTCTCATATTATTTCACAGCTCAGAATCCTGGTTGTTTAGCGTCAGCTGTCTTCTGAGTGTCTCCATTGTGTTTGAGTGACGTTCTCCTTCAGCCTCTTGTCTGTTCAAATGAAGTCATGCTCGGTCTTAAAGCTGAAACTGAAAGGCTTCTTTAAGTTGTTATACAAGGCGCCTGTGTCTTAAAGATGCAAAGCCTGCAGTGTGCAGAGAAGACTAACAGTTTTAACACAGTTAGTGCAGATAACGAGGCAAGACGAGCACAGTTTTATTTTATTTTGAAACCCAGCATTTCAGGACATCCATGGCGATCACACTGTAATGGACCAAGGATTGATTGGAGCTTTGCCAAGCAACTCGACTGTTGTCAGGGTTTTATTGATTCTATTAACTGTCGATTAGTTGTTTTTAACGCGTTTTCTGGCTGATACATTTTGGGGCGTTAATCGTTACAGACGTTTAACCTTTATGGCAGAATTCATATTTTGTCTCCTGCTATTGTTCCATTTAAAACTAAAATATGTCAGCCTAACATGACATATATTAGATTTAATGTCTAAGCTAGGGATGCACGATATTATCGACATGGTATCGGTATCGGCCGTTATTAGCGTTAAAATTAAATATTGGACATGGGCCATTACATCAAAATAACTCACTGATATATAATATCCAAGTATCTCCAAATATACATAACCCAAGTTGAAGTGTTACATCATTTTCAGTCCCCCTTTTGGCATCTGCATTTGGTAGCAGGCCAAACTGACAAAGCCCATGTAGAATAATGTAGTATTTTAATTAGGGATGCACGATATTGGATTTGTGGCCGATATCCGATGTGCCGATATGTTACAACTTATTTGGCCAATACAATACGTTACGTTGGAAAAATATCTCCGACTGGGGACGATGTAGCGAGGCTCAACATAGTCCAAAAATCTTTGGAATACAACATCCTCACCAACAAAAAAAACAACCTTCCACACCGCCGCCATTTTGAATTTTCCTCTCCACCGTGAGATCAGGTAGGCGCGCGTGACGTCATCACATTGTGCTGGCGCAGCAGGCATTCTTGTTACTGGGTTGTCATACAAAAACAGCGCCTTTTATATCGGTGAGTTATTTTGATGGAATGGCCGATGTCCGATATTGAACTTTAACGCTAATATTGGTCGATACAGATAGCATGCCCATAATATCGTGCATCTCTAATTTTAATTCCACAGCAGAGAAAGCTATGTAGTCTTTGTAAGTAGGTATTGGTATCGGATATCGGCCCAAAAAATCCAATATCGTGCATCTTTGGTCTGAACAGTTTTATTTGTTACTCCTTGACTACAACCGGCCCATCAGATCCTTTTGTCTGGATCTTAGTCCTAATTTTAGGTCCTTGGGCCACATTCCATTGACCTGTAATTGGTTTGCCCTCATGAGCACTTATTCTGGGACACGTCCCTCACATGCTGGCAGCTGATTTCATTTACTTTGTTTTGACTCTGTTCTTTTAGTTTGAGCTAAACAGATGAACACACTTATATTTTGACTGCCGCTTTAACAGTTTAATTATAAATAGTAAACTGACCTTGGCGTGCACTTTTATTTTCAGATCGGAGGCTGCAGTGGTCTAAATGTCTTCTGCGTTCGAGAAAACAGACTGATGAAGATACCGTCAGAGCTGTCACAAGCCACAGAGCTTCATGTGTTTGACGTTTCCGGAAACCGGTACGTTCTGCAACACTCATCACACGCGCAGATCTCTTGAACAGAACCCTGCAACATGAATAAAAACGAGGACAAAACACTTCTGGTCCCTAAAGATCAGTTTCTCCGTTGTTTTGACTATCAGCCTGCCTGAGCTTGTTTCGTCTCAAAGTTTAGACTTTAAAGAAGTTTGCACCAGTCGCTTGTGTTTGAGTCACACACAAACATGTTTATCTCTTTGTCTGGAAGGTTTTCCCCTCCTCTGCGTCATTATTATGTTTAGATGATGGAGATGAAAACCAGAAGATTACCTATACATGATGGTGCATTGATGTGATTTTCTTTTTGGTTTAGTCTCTCCTACTTGCCGTACTCGCTGACCACGCTGCGGCTGAAGGCCCTGTGGTTGTCAGAAAACCAGTCGCAGCCGCTCCTCACCTTCCAGACGGATAAGGACCCCGAATCGGGCGAGAAGGTGCTCACCTGCGTTCTGCTGCCTCAACAGCCCTGCGAATCGGACCTCAAAGGTAACGTTCGTTCGAGTGAAATGATCTGTATCATCAGAAGCAGAAACTGAACCCAGATGCAATCTTTCATTTTATACTGGTTGACTGAACTGACAGTAAATGTGTCCTTGGACTCTTTGATTGCCGTTCAGTTCTAGGCTGAGTTAGATAATTTTATGCCATCTTTGTGACGTTTGAGGAACAGTTCTTATCAGTCGTCTGAGAGTATTTGCTGCCCTGCGGCTTTGATGACATTATTACATGATCTGCTTGACCAACCCTCTGATCCGGCAGCATGTGTCCATTAGGAGGTCCGTTAAAGCCATGCGCCGCCTTTGATAGATCTGACCCTCCCTTGTCCCCCGAGGCCTTCCTTGGCTGCGTTTTACAGAAATGTTGTGGATTGGACTGCTAAAGAGGCTTAGCGGCAGCTGGCCAGCTGACATTTAAAAGCCGTCACGATGTGACTGTGTGCTGGCTTTACATCTGTTTGATACAAATTCTGTGCTTTTTTTCCCCGTGCCATCATCCAGAGTTGTGCACATTATGTATGATTTTCTGAACATTTGGTATTTTAAAAGGCTTTTGTTTCTACTTATTAGTGATTGTGGTTTGTCGTCTCTCAAGCGGTAGAGATGCAGATTTTAAACCGCTCTTGGTTAGGATGAGAAGCTGGGGGTGGGGGAGGGGGAGGGTGTTGCTCTCAGCCTGTGACTAAGCTGGGATTTGAAACTGTGATCTGGCAGTTTCAATCTCTCTTTATTAGCAGCAGGGTTTGTGAGAGTTCTCCATTTAAACCTGCCGAAATATTTTTCCTTCAGCTCACATTCTTCTTCTTTTTTTTTTCTTCCCCTCATCGTTTAATGTTGTGCCTGAACTCCAGTAAGACAAAAATCTTCTTTGACTGTTTTAAATACAACTCCAGGTTCTGACAATCTCGCCCGCTTTGGAGCCCTGGAGAGTTTGGTGAACGGCATGGCGGATGACACGTGGGACAACAAAGCCATGAACAGAACCAGCGCCATTCACTTCCTAGATGCAGATGATGACGAGGACGATGATGAAAAGGTGGGACCAGCAAGAATAAATTAAATTAAAGTAGAACAAACCAGTTGTGGAGGGAATATAAAATCAACCGTGTTCTTGAGAAATAAGAATATTGATATTTATGGTTGACCTTTCACTTGAATCCATTATTATTCTTTTCACAACTTAGCCTGAAATGTTTTACCTTGTCTTACCCGGGTTAGGCCTGGTTATTAATCATGCTATGACCCAGATTCATGCAGAACTACTAAGAAATGAGGGGTACAGCCCAAAGCCCACATTAGCACTAATCTCACATCCAACTTCAATTAAAATACGTTTTAAAATGTTATAGAGAAAAACTTTGAGCATGAACTAATTCTTCATGTTCATAGCTGTGATGTGCATGAACTTTTCTCAAATCGAAGGGCTAAAATTAAAATCCCTGCAGATTTTCCACCATTTCTTCCTTTCTTGTTGAAACCGTGTGACTTGTCCACTCAACGTTTCTGCCTGAAAGTCTCCTAGTTGTCACGACGATTGAGGCCAAATGAGTCTGATTCAGCCATCACAGCTAGGCCTGTCACGATAAACAATAAATCAATTAATCGCATGACAAATGAAAATTATCGACCTCGTTTTCTTTTGTCAGCTTTATCGTTTCTTCATAAGACACTGGGTGACAAAAAGGATCAAATCCGGTACTCTTCACCAACCCCTCCCTTTCTCTTTAAAATCTGTTTTAACGATCCAAAATCGCGTTTTTGGATCGTTAAAAGCAGCTAAACTGAGAAGCTAAGCTAACAGGTCAACCTGGTCAAAGCTCCAAAATTCACGGTTGAAACCCGTGCCTTTGTCTAAAAAGTTGTTTTTCCTCTGCAAAAAGAAGCTGAAAACTTGTTTACTGATTTTTTTTAATTACAAGCTTTGTGTGAAAAATGCTATGCTAAAAAGCTCAAACCACACAGAGCGTCCGCCATTTTGAGACCCGAAGAGAGAGAGCCCATGTCACGTCAAGGGGCCTCCCTCACATTTTGCTTAGAGACACGCTGCTCGTTCCCTCACTATCCATCCTTTGGTTCAAACGGTCTTATACTGCCATCCAGTGGTCAAAAAAGGAACTAAACACAAAAATTAACCAACATTTCTTGTTAAATTTGACAATAATTACTAATTATTGTCAAATTTCAAACAAGATTATCGTTTACCACAATAATTTCTGAGACAATTAATCGCCCAGTAAAATTTGTTATCATGACGGGCCTAATTCCCTAACACTCATTTGAACACAAATCAAAACTTGAGTACAACTCAACTTAAGCTTCGTCTGAACCTTGAAACTGTGGTCAATGTACTGGTGTTCAACTTTTTATTTTTATAAAACTCACAAGTACAGGTGCTTGTATTTTGAGTAATAATCAAAGTGGAGCACCTAATGTTAAACTAACTGGAAACGTTCTGTAATAAGACGATTCCTGAAAATATAAATCATGTTTTAAACCTGCAGGTTCCATATAATATCTTTAGTTTTATTGCCGAAGCTCATTTCTGATCTGCATTAAAACTGTTTGAACTTACTGGGGATTTTTTTTAGATATTTCTGTTCCTGATCGTTCTTTGTGTTTTTGCCTTCACAGTTTTCAGAGCTGGCAGGTTTCAGCAGGTGCCATCAGGTGTTTGTTTACCAGAATATATGGCCCATTTACTCAATTTGTATCTTTCGCACAGGGAATATTGCTCCGACGGGCCACACCGCACCCTGGTGAACTGAAAACGATGAAGAAGGCAGTCGAGAACCTCCGCAACGACCTGATCGCAGCCAAAGCCCTGGACTCCAATAAAAACGAGGTCAATAACGCTGCAGAGAGAGTGACGACGTCTGTGTGACCTTTACCTCAGAAATCTGACGTTTTTTGTTTTTTGCCTTTTGCCTTTTGCCTACTGTGTCTCCCTGAATTTTTTCCGCACAACCCTGCAACCCTTTGTTTTTTGTGTTTTTTTTTTTTTTTACACTTTTTACCCATTCTCGTGTGATGAAACCGTGGAACACCTGTAACCTTACTCCGTCTCCAGTCCTGTGGAAAACGTGCTCAGTCTATCCGGGCCACAGTGCCTTCCTCTGTTTTTTAAATGTCTACAGCAATAATCTGCACAAAAATGCTCATTTAAAAATATTTTAAAGATTATGTTACTTAAAGCAATTCTTTAAAAAAAATCATTAGGTAGTTGCACTATAAACCATTTTAAATGTATTTTATATTTGCTTTATATCTTTTAAAATAAAAAAAAAACACTGGGTAATACTTTTTTTTTTCTTTTTACAATTTGGGCAAAGAAAAGCAGGAGTTTTTAGACCTACTGATCTTCAGATTATTGTAAATCTCTTGTGAATATTGATACTTTTATACTTTTTGGCAGCTCAGATGTAAATATATAATGTATAGCAAGTTTCTTCTTAATCTTTTTCAGAATTTTAAACATATTTACTTTGGTACAGCTTCTGTTTTTAATCAAAACAATGAATAAAACAGCCACTAATGTCTTATTTAATCTTTTGTCAGCACGTGAGATCATTTGCCAACATAAAGTCATATTTTTGGATGTAGATTGATTAGAGTGACACATCTGGATTAAAGTCTTGCACGTACTCAGCTGTAACGCTATACCGAAGCAAGAATCCTGTTTTATTTAAACGTGCTGCGCTTCCCTGCTTTATGTTATTTTACAAATAGATGCCAATCCAGCTGTTTTCTATTTTTTAAGTTTTCTTCCTTTTTAACAGAGAAACTGTCTGAGCTTTTGGGGAGATTGAGGTTTGACTTAAAAAAAAACAGTTTTTTTCCGATCAGATGCACTTCTTATCCATGCTCAAATCTTATTCTTTTACAGTGTAAGGTACTTGATAAATTGTGTTTTGTTTTAAAATTGATTGCAACAAACGGACCAGAGAATTTGGTTCAAGTGTTTTTATGTTTTTCTTTGTCTTAATTATTTTCTGATTAAAGAAACTGCACAAGACGGATCTCAAACTGGCTCCGGGCCAGAAGATTTGACGACTTTGACCACTGATCAATAAAAACGAGTGCAACACTAAATCACATGCTTGTTATTATTCTTTTAGAGTTTTGATCTAATTATGTGGAGATAAAATCCATTTTCAACATTAACCTCCTAAGACCTGAACTCTTGCATATGTGGATGTCAGGTCCTAGGAGGTTAAGGTGATGCCAATAATTAAACGTAATAGTGATAATCCCAATTTAATATATTGTGAAAAATATACAGTTCTTAACACATTTCAAAGGTTAACTATCTTGTTTGATTGTCAGACCCTTAAATGTCTCGTCTGTTCCTACTGCATGATGGTCCAATGCTTTGCAAGTGGCATGATAACCCTGCACGTGCTGCATGCTCTAGTTAGAGTTGTCGGCTGTTATCAGAACATAAGCAGTAGTTATGTGTCTACATGTTCTGTATCTGAGAATGTGATGATCTCAATCACTTACAGACGCCTAGATTTGAAATCTGCAGATGAACAAACGGGTTATATTTTGTGAAAAGTGAAGCAGAACTGCATTTCAGCGTTGTGTCTTTGATAGGCCTGTCGCGTTAAACATTAAATCAATTAATCGCATGATAAATGAAGATGATTGACCTTGTTTTCATTTATCGGCTTTATCGTTTCTTCGTGTCTCTTTCTAGTGAAGACACTGGATGACAAAAGGCTCAACTCCGGTGCTCTTCACTGACCCCTCCCTTTCTCTTTAAAATCTGTTCTAACCGTCTAAAATCGTGGTTTTGGATCGTTAAAAGCAGCTAAGCTGAGAAGCTATGCTAACCGATAGACCTCGGGGAAAAAAACTCTTTGTCTAGTCAAAGCTCCTAAATTCACAGTTGAAACCCGTGCCTTCGTGTAAAAAGTTGTTTTTCTCTGCATAAAGAAGCTGAGAACTTGTTTACAGATTTTTTATTTATTTATTAAGAGCTTTGTGTGAAAAATGCTATGCTAAAGAGCTCAAAAAACACAGAGCGTTCGCCATTTTGAGAACTGAAAAAAGGAAAGAGACAGCCCATGTCACGTCAAGGGTCCTCCCTCCCATTTTTCATAAAGAGACATGCTGCTCACACCCTCACTATCCATCCTTCTGTTCAAACAGTTTTATACTGCCATCCAGTGGTCAAAAAAGGTACTACACACAATTAACCAACATTTCTTCTTAAATTTTACAATAATTTCTAATTATTGTCAAATTTCAAAGAATATTATCGTTTATCGCAATCATTTCTGAAACAATTAATCGCCCAGCAAAATTTGTTATCGTGACAGGCCTAGTCTTTGACAGCTAACTGATGATGGATGCTATAAGATGAAGGGGTTAATTATTCATCACCGAGCCAACACTGTCCTCGGGTTTTTCTTCAATGAACAGTCGATGTTTTCTGATCTCCAGGAGAGTAGAATTCCTCATACTAACCCGCCCCCCAGGACCAGCAGCCAAACCTGGGGCGTCCCACACGTTTCCTGGATGCCAAACATCGAGCGTCTGCTGAGGGGGCCTCAGATGTTTCCTGCCTTTAAAAGTGCACGTGGTCGTTGCACCAATGTGGAGAATGCCCAGAACATAGAACCAGCTGAAGAGGTCTGTGTTCCAGCATCACGTGTTCAGCTTCATTTGATCAAGTGATTCCTGTTTGGTGGTGAACTGCTGCTGATGACCAACAAATTTAAACTCCTTGCAGATAAATAAGGACCTAGTTGTCCTTAAAGGAATTCATATCACCTGCCACCATCGATGCCCCAGTTTTAGATTAAGATCATTTTATGTTATGAAGTGATGAGTTGTAGATTTATTTATTTTGGTCCAAAAATGAAAATGACATCAAATCTATGTCATGTCACAAGATCTGTGATATTGTGAGATGTCATGCACAGAATATGCATTGTGAACGACTCGGCTACCACCACATCGAATTATATCTCAATATCTTTAAAACTGACTGAGTAAAAGTCATCTAATATCGATTAGCTATGTTGTTCGTCTTCTATTGCATTGACTCCAAATGTTAATCAGTTGTAAATTTAAATTCAATTTTTAATTTATAACAGCTTTATTAAATTATATCCAGTGCCTCATGAGATATTTTGCTAACAGACAAACAGGATGGACTCAAATACTTAATTATAAAGTTTTGAAGCCAAGTCTTTGTACAATGAGTGGCACTTGGAGAATGTGTTGTGATAGACTCTCAGCTACGACCACACTGAATATTAGCACAGCGTCTGTAAAATTGATTGAATTTGAGCCATTCTTGTGTTTTTAATGTCAGTTTGGCTGTGGCGGCCATCTTGAATGGGATTGGCTCTAAAGGTTAATTAGTTGTAGAAGCACATCCAGTGATTACTGTCTGAAAGTTTCATTAAAGCCATGGAAGTGGTTCACGAGATATTTTGCTAACAGACAGACCACCTTTACCTTTTTAGTGGAATGCAAACAAATGACAAAATTATCTATTGTATCTCATTAGTGAAAGACATCGTATCTTGCAGACTGGCAGTAAAACATCAATTAAAATAAAATTCTTGAGCATCATTAAGAGTAAATTCACTTTGTGTTTCAAATGAGTTTGATTGTGTTTATCCATTTCTGGATGTTGCACTGTGTGTGTCAACCATAATATCTGTCATGGTGCATTGCACATACAGGGCCCAAGCAGAGTGGTTTTTTAACTTCTCTTCTTAAAGAAGCATTTGTTGTTTAGTTGCAGATCAAAGTGTCGAGTCAAAGTGGTCGTTTGGGGATCAGCATTGCTGGTGGAAAGGGTTCTCTGCCTTACAAAGACCACGATGAGGTGAGCCCAGGAGCAGCAGAGCTGAAAATAATCGTCTCATGCAATAGCGATTATTCACAATTTATTTTGTATTAGTGTAAAAGCAGTATGGAAAAGCACACGTTACTACCGGTAACATAATACTATTAAAATATCACATTAAGTATAAAATATCAGCATCAAATAAGAAATCAGAGCAAATTAAATGGTGCCGTTATAATAAACACTGTAGTTGATTTTTAAAGTGTTAACACCAGGTGATAGAATTATATATTCAGGAAGATAGTTTATAAGCAAGACATTTTTAATCTTTTTAACCTTTAGACAATTTATGTCCTGTTCATACAACAAACCTTCTTTTTCCAAAGAAAGTATAAACAAGGGACTAACTCATGCACTAATATGCATACTTCAGTCAAATCAATATTTGACTATTACTTTGAACATCTGTTTATGTCTCTCCAAATAAGGTGACCAGACTCATGCACACTCTTCAAGAACAGGTCTAACGTAACTTTTATACAGTATTAGAAAATACTTTAAATCAAGATAATTAAAGGAACAATTGAGCAGACCTAGTACACAATTTGGCTCAGCAACAAAATAAAAATAAAAATTGGAGAACGATTCTGTCAGTATTAACTCATACAGTCATAACCAGGATTTCTGTTTCATACATCAACACTTTACATTTGGCTTCATAGAACATAATATCCACTAACCATAATAATAAGTACCTTATTAAATAAAACAGTAAAATAAAACTTAATGCGAGCAAGTTGTTAATTAAAAGTAAAAACATTATAGGTACAAGTATAGACCCCTGAGGGACTCCATTCTTAACAATAACCAACATAACTTTGCACCTTTTACACAAACTTTCTATTTACCATCTATAAGAAAATGGTCATGCCAACAATTTATTTAAGTTACAAATAATTCATATTTCTGTAGATTATAAATTAATCTGCCTTGAGACATACGCACAGAGCGTTGTTTGTCTTTCTACATGAAGATGATGTGAATCAATGATCTTAAACATCTCAACATCTTAAACTAATGCACCGACTTCGCCTGCTTTGAAAATATTATTGAAGGTACTTTGTCTGATTTTTTTTCAGGGCGTTTTTATTTCTCGAGTAGCAAAAGGGGGTCCATCAGAAAAAGCTGGTATCCATGTTGGAGATAGGTTGTTGGAGGTAGGAGATTTATTTTAAAACCATAATGATGTCAAGTTTGCTTCACTGATTGACATTTGTTATGCTGGATATTAAGTAAATTAAAACTACACACTGATTTATAGTTGGTATTTCCTTTGTCTCCAGTAGGGGACAGCATATGACCAACAGAGGACTCTGCTTGGACTCCTGCAGTGACTAAAGGAGTCCAAGCTCAG